CGACCACCACGAGATGAGATCATAAACGCACCCGTGGGATCTACATCGCGGAATCCAAACCTTCTCCTCTCCTTTGGTTTTTTTAGCAGGTAGATTTGACTATCGCGCCAAACGTCGGCGACGAGGACAGCGAGACAGGCTCCGGGAAGCTGTTTCTGCCATTTTTTGCCGAATGCGGTGACGGGGGCATATCTCACAACTCTGTGCCCGAAGGTCGCTATGTTAAGCTGTCTGAAAAAAGGGCTCTGTGAGTCGAGACCAGATCGGACCTGGAGGTTCACAAGAGAGATCGGGATGCCCTGGGTGTCGACTTCGATCTCCCTGCCAGCTGATGCCCAGCAGAAGATTACTCGCCAGCTCTCGTCGGCCGCTGACACAACCAGCTGTCCAAGGCCACCACCCTCTACATCTACAAACGCCGTGCGCCAAGCCTCGGCGTCACGCGGGTGGACCATGCCTCTCTGCAGCACCGTCCTCGCCCAAATTTGAAAGTTGTACAGGTTGGGATCTCCTCCGAGGGGGTGCGAGTTGAACCACCTGTATCCCGGCCCCGGCGAGGAAGGGAAGGAGATACGAACCCTAAACCCCGTGCCGAAGACGGCCTGGCGCCTATAGGTGATCCCTCCAGGCCCCTTGTACCGCCACCCGTTGCTCCTGCCTGCGACGGGAGCGGCCTGGTCTACCTGCTCCACGTAGCACCACCGGTAGCTGGTGGTGTGTGATGATGATACAGCTGCCGTGGTTGCCCGTGCCGCCATCCTCTCTTTGAAATGAGCCAACATAATTTTTATCCTTTCCTACCAGAAGCGTCAACCACGGTGGTGGCACCGTTGACTGATGACAATAATATATCTGTCTCTCGATGATTCCGTGTGGTGAAGACGCGATTGTATTGTAGAAAATGTCTCTTATCCTGTGAGCGAAGGATATAGTTGTGAGCGTGTGGGTGTTTCCTGGAGACGATTGTTTCCCGTCAAGATTTGTCGCAGCTCTCCTTTTCGTTTTCAATGACCGTCCGTCCGTCGTGTGGGTGCGACAAAAAAAATCACAAGAAAAGGGGCGGGGATGATGGTGGGTTCAACACCATCCAGCCTAGAGTGGATCGGAGCAGCCGGTAGGAAATGCGTTCCTCCAGGACAGAAGAAAGTGTGGTCGGCGATTTCCCGTGGAAGTCGGGCGTCAGCAATCAGACCAATCAGACCAATCAGTCAATCACGGGGAATTTGAATTTTTCGAGTTTTCCCGAAAAGGCGACCTCACAACCGTGGCTGACGTCATCGGTCGACCATGGAATTTTCGTCCACAGGAAATTTCCTGTCAAAAAAATTGGCCAATCAGAAAACTGCGGGGACCTTTTCTCTCTCTCTCATTTGTTTTTTATATCCTGGTGAGCGCGATTTACCTGACGTGCTCTAGATGTAACAGCCTAACAGCTGTCGTCTCGACTACTGTATTTGTACTCTGAAAATGTTTTCTCTTTGAAACGTTACAGACAGGATGTTATTAGCTCAAATGGGGCTGTTGGCGACACTTGGTGATCTTTAGCATGCATCTCCTCATCTAAGCTGTATCTTAAGTAACGGATATCGAAAATCGGCCTCTTCGCTGAAAAAGATCCACACTATTTTGAACCATTCACAATCATTCATCGCCCCATCCTCGTTGGGACGATTATGGAACTGCTGTGGACGCATGACAAACACAGGATATCTCTAGACCATCCCACGCAACATTAGGTGTAAGTCCATGTTGCTGCTGCGGGTGTTATAAAGTATGCAGTTTGCGTAGTACAGAGATATCTGTGTAGTCTGCCATCGTACATAAAGTTTGTTTTTGAATAAATTTCGTGTTGTCGTCGAACGCTCCGACTGCGTGCTCCTGGCTCGATCGTCTCATTCCCAGGTGGTACGACAGAGAGAGGCGGCCACACCCAATCGAAGTTCACGTGCTGCACAACAAATGCATCGAAATGCTGTTTAGCAACCTGTTTGCGAAACTCCGCGACTTCAATGCGGCCGTCGATAGGATGACCCCAGCGCAACGAAAGTGTTGAGCGGAAACTTTTTCCCGCATCGCGATGGGCGAACCCGTCGGCGTCCCCCGCGGTTGGTGAGATGTGGCATCACTGCTTCTTCCTTTGCGAAAGAAAAAGTATCCGAGTTGCCCCGCGCCGTGTAGCATATGCAGGCGCGTATGCTTCACACGCAATAAACCCGGGAATCCGCAAGGTTGCGGTTTCCGCCCAACTGGCCTTGACGTGACGGGCCAGCTACGCCTTCCCCGTGAAGTCTTGCGGGGTATGTTCTTGCTGACGTTTGTGACGCGGCAGAGAATGTTCCACAAGGTTCCTCGCCCTGAAACGTCACCCATAAAAGATTGCGTTGCCTGTACGTCCCAGTCTTTCTCCCTGCCTCTCTACGTGCGTACCCCCTTATTCACCCGCAACTGGTAAAGCTTGGCGGAAGGAACAAATTGTCCTTTAATGAAAGGTCTAGGACAGCCCGGCAATCTCCACCAAAAAACACAGCTGGATCCGGCAATCTCCAAAAAGCAGAGCTGGCCAAATGACCACTCCCGCTACGCACCGCGAGGCATACTGGTATTTGCTGCAACAACAATATTTTCCCTGTGGATGATACTGAAGGTTTCGCGTTTCATCCTGAGGCTCCTTCTGGCTCGAGTCCCCGAACCACGTGAGTGAGCTACTGGCCGCACATACATCTCATTTTTCTATCCCGTTTGCAACTGATTTTGGTGCCAGGGGCGTGTTACTCATGGCGTGCCCTTCAGTGAAACAAATGATGCATGTTTGTCGTGAATTCCACGAACTGAGTTTCGGCCAGCCACTACGTAATACGCCCAGCAACAGTAGCGATGCCATCCAGAAGGGTGTGGTCATTAGGTATTTTTTCGTTCCCCCCCCCCCCCCCCACTCAGAATTCTCTTCAGCTTGATAGGGTTAGTCTAGGCAGCGCGTGCTCCCACGAAGTGGCTGCTACCAGAGAAAAAGCTCACCTACTCGGGCAGGAGAGAAAACAGTGTTATTTTCAGGGTTCGTACGGTCAGCTGTGTTCGTCGCCGTATCGGGCGAACATATATTTCAATAGGCCAACGATGGAACGAGAGGTGGCTGCAAGGGGGGGGGACGAGCAATTTAGGGAAATTCGTTCCCCAAACCATGTCCAGACTGTTGCCAGATTCAAGAAACTGGCGGAAGGGATTACAGTCCGAGGCGCGGACCATAATGAAAGGCGCGGAGTGATGCAGTGTTAGACGTTAAGCACGAAAAAAACCCGGCACAATTAAGAAAGTGATGACGTTGAACAAAACTAGGTACTGGATCCCAGGAAACCTCAGTTATTTCAACAGCATCATCACCCAAATTATAGGCAATTCATTTCTCCTTGAGCCTTGTGTGCTAGTATCAAGAGCCCCCGCCGTGAAACGTCCAAGCCGGTTCTTGCTTGTATGTAATAAAAATATCCAGGTGCCCTACGATCGGCGCTCAACAGGCTGGGTCAGATGGGCATGCGCACAGCCAGACTTGCCGCGAACGTCGTCGATTGGGTGTTCATCGTATCGGTGGTGTACAGCCTGCATTGCCCGACCGGCGTGACCCCATTAGACTGGTCGACGCTCGCTCTCGGGATATCTGGTTCTTCCGTCGTCTACCTCATGCTCGGTGACATCGAAAAACACTTGGACAGCCCGGCCCTGCTTCGTTTTCTTACCTCCAGCTACTGTGGATCCACCTTGGCGGCTGAAGTCGCGCGACTCCCCGGCTTTGATTGGGAAAACTTGGAGACGCTGGCCCTTGGTTTCGGTGGCGCAGGCGTCTGGATTGTCGGCCTCAACAACATGCATCTATTCTTGGCACTCTCTGACATCGTGATAAATCCTTTGGTCCGACTGGCGGCTGCAACGGCCGCGGCCGCTTCAGCAGGGATTGCTGCGGTGGTGCTCTTTTACATGGATAAGCCTGGAGACAGTAAATCGATGGAGTCGACAATCATGTTTTACGCGTGTGCATCAACGTCGCCGCTTGTTTTGCACTTCATGAGGCAGGTACCTCCAACCCGCCTTGTGGTGGGCCTAGAGCACTCGTCAATATTCACGGGCGTTGCGCGCTTGGTTTGCTGGCGCTAGGGCTATCTTTGGGGTACACGACAATGACAGCGAAATGGTTCTCGTTGTTTCGTACTGATCTAACATCCCTGTTGGCGAGAGTCGCTTGGTGTTACAAGCTTAGTTCGAGTGTGTGTATGCAGGTGGTACCTGCATGTTACGAGTTTACTGTTGTGAGAGTGTGTTTTTTTACATTCCATGTGTTCTGGGAGGCAGTCGGCACGTTTCGGAATACGATTGACCCAAGAGCCCCGGTCACACAGGAGGAAATGGGCACCGAAACTTTTCCTTCTTCTCAGCTCTCTCTCCGCGGTGCGTGCCTTCAACGCTGCACGCGAGTAAAGGTCAGCAGTCCTGCCCCCTCGTTGTTGTGTGTGCTTGATACTGTGCCCTCTGCATGAATGGTAGGATATTTATTGCTTCTAAAGGATGTCAATTCCAAAACCTGGTAGCAGAACCCGCTACGAGAATAGATCCGCGAGTGACTGTGGGTCTTCCAACAATATTTAGCCGATTGTTGCAAGCCTGTTTGCACAATAAACGTCAATTTCACGGCCTACGACGGTAATAGCGTCTCAAATCACCCAATAGTACTACCGTCAACGTAGCAAACATTACAACATGGCAGCTTCCATCCAATGAGCTGAACAATTGGTTGGCAAAACCAGAAACATCCAAACATCTTCTATCTCAAAACCAACGGTCAGCATTCCAGTGCAAGCATCTACAGCCCACTGAAGACTGACTGTAGGGCCAGCATCAAGGATTGGCCGGTGTGAAGGGCATACCAACTTGATGATTATCAGCTCCACTAATACATGGAGAACGCACCAAAAAAGCCGGGGCGTTTCGCTGTGCACCTCGACTGTCGCATTCTACACCAGATCCTCGCGCGGTGGGGGAGGGAACCATCGCGCCATCACGTACATCTTGTCCCTCATGGAAACACTAACGACTCTTCCAAACAACTCATCCATCGCCCCTTGGCTGCCGACCGTTTCAACCACGTCGTTCTCCTCGCCCTGCTCTTGCCAGAAACGCTTGAGGGTTATGCTCTCGAAGCCCTGGATCGTTTCCCGGATCTGATTTTATCAAACAAGCAACAGAGCGCAAACAGCCATGCTCGATACAATGGAAAACCCTCCAGCACCAGACGGATTTTTTTTTTCACGCACCCGCCTAAAGCATCCGGTATCAAGGCTGTCGTCGGTAGGGCCTGGAGAAAACACGCTGTTCTCTGGGTTCGAGCATTGTGTTCAATGACACTAGCCAGAGCTGGGGAGCGGGGGCTCATGTAACGTGGGGTGCGCTTAGTGCAAGCATCGTGGCCATGTACATAGTCCATGCGGGGGAGTTGGGTGCATACTGCTGAAAACCTCCGACTGGTGTGACGAAGAATAGCGTCCGAGAAACGACAAGCGGCGGAACCGGGGTTCGGACTGGTTCGGGTCCCACAACGTAAAAGTCGTGCATGCAGAGAGGACCACGTTTCCAAAATAGTATTGTTTACGAGGTGGAAACAAAAAACAACCGTCGGAATTTACCCGTTTCTGCGATTGTTGGCGCATGGTTCCAACGAGATGGTGAGGCCAGGCTGGCAATCCCGCACGGTTGGTCATCGGAATGATCGCGCCCCGTTTGAGGGTGTGGTAGCACGGGACCACCCTGCGGACAACTTCTCTTATCTCATACAACCAACTCCCCCACTTGGTTGGATCTGCACGTCATTCATTCTCGTCTCCACAAACTAGCCTTACCTCAAACAGGTCCAGAAGGCGGTGTTTGGTGGGGTCGCTCGTGACGACAAAGTCGAACTTGGAGAAATCCACTCCTTCTTCCTGCGATAGAAAAACGAGACACATATGAAATACACAACATTGAACGGGGAAGAGCCGTGAACTAATATGCAGCACTGGATTGTAGGGTAAGAAAATCGAACCAAACATGCGGATGCGTATTTTTTGACACAAGCATGCATACACGTGGAAGAAAATGAAACGCCAACGGTAGTGAGACCTCGAACGAACGGTTCTGGGATGATGAGAGACCACAAAATCTACACACGAAAAACAAATGCAATAAACGATGGATCGTGAGACCCATGCATAGTGGCTAAAGAGCATACACGTCTAATCTTCCGAGCGCATGCAATAGCGTCGGCTGACCAGCCTTGGCTTGGTGTCACGGAGGAGAAATAAAAGTCTCTGAACCGGCTCACCCGGTGAGGGACCGCCGGACCCCAGCATGCAACACGGGTCAAGAAACAATACCAACTGAATACGCACCAAGGGGAGCATCACCGAACGATCAGCCGAAAACAAACGGCCGAGGCACACCTGCTTCGAGTACACCACCCCCTTTTTGCGCTGTCCGAACCGCGACACCCCCGTCATCGCCGCCTGTACATCCACGTGGACCAAGACGTCCTGCGACAACACCGGCGTTTTCGTAGCGAGCGCGGCACCAAAACGGAGCGATAAGTTAAAGTTGGACGCTAGCACACGAGCGGGGGGAGGTGGCTGAAGACGTCCGTAAAGAGAACGGCGAATAGGTGGGGGCGGGGGGGGACTAAATTGTTTGTCGGTGTCTATCGAGTGGACCATCAGTCCTACCCTGGACATGAACCACAAAAAGACATCCGCTCTTCTTACGTTTCAGTCGCCAAGTAAGGAGGGGAGGAGGAGATGATCAACATTTGACGGCTGTAGCAGCCCGTCATTCACTGTCCGCGTGTAACGTTCCATGATACCAGGCAGCGTTGTGCCAGGGCTGGCTTAGGGACTGGTCGGGGGCGTGGCAAAACGCGCGGCCCGAGAACAACACATAATTGATATACGGCAATCCCTATGTTGACCGTTTCCATGGAAACCCTTAGCCCTTCACGCCTCCAAACCCGCCCAAGCTGTTCGGCGGACAAGATGATCGTCCCTAAAACTTGCAGCGCAGCGAGATACAGCAGACAACACACGTGGAAGCCTCAAGCCCTCGAAATCTGCGCCCCGACCTTCACTGATTCCCGGTGGTCGGCGTCAATCACGCGGTGCAAAGCCTCCAACGCCAGGGCTCCCGGGTAGTTGGCCGACGAGGCGGTGAGGGCCAGTGCGGTTGTTCCCGCGGTGGCGATCAAGGCCAGGCCCACTACCACGCATAGGAATAAACGCCCCATGACGGTTCTGCCGGAGGGGGGGGGGGGGGGGGGGGG